CCCGTCGCTGCCGCCGCAGGACTACGAGCTGGCCGGCAAGGTGGGGGGCAGCAAGGAGGGCCCCCCCAACCCAGCCTGGGGGGAGCGGGGATGGAGCCCCCAGCCCCTCTGCGGGGGGCCTGTGGAGGGTCCCTGCCCAGGAGGTGGTGGTGGGGGGTTCCTTGCTGTGGGGGAGGTGGGAAGGGTTTGATCCCTGTCCCAGGGGGGCTTGTCCAGGGAAAGGGGGGGGTGGGGGTCCTGCTTGGGGGTCCAGCCCCACGCTGCTCCACACCACTGCGCTCCTCTCACTCCACTTTATTCTACTCACTCCGTGCCGCTATACCCCACTATCCTGCACTCTATTCCATTCCACTCCACTCATTCCACTCCACACTACTTTATTCCATCCCGCTTCACTCCATACTACTTCACACCACTCCACACTCCTTCATGCCGCTCCAATTTACTCCACTTCACACCACTCTACTCCACACTACTTTGCACTTCACTTCATGCAACTTCACTCCACTTCATACAACTTCACTCCACTCCACTTCACTTCACTTCTCTTTAGTGTCACCAGGGAGGGTTGGACCAGCCAGGGGACTTTGTTGGGAGCCTTTCCAAGCCTGGAGCATGGTGTCCGTGGCGGGTCTTGTTCTGTGCCATCCCTGCGGATCCCTGTGAGGACGAGCGGGGCTGGTCGCGGAGGCGCCGTCGGAGCCGGGCAGTCCCGAGGCCTGTTTGCTTTGCAGGAGTGGGCGACGCAGCGTGTTTGCTTTGGTGTCTGCCACGGGCAGGGCCTGCCTAAGGGAAAGGGCAGGAGTGGAGCTTGCCGGGTGCCCTGGGCCGGGCGATGGCCACTCCGGAGGTCAGCGTGACGTGGCCGGGGATGAAGCTCCGCTCTCGGGGAAGGCTCCTGGGTTGGGGCCGCTGGAGCTGCACAAAGCAGTGCAATGGGGACAGAGGGCAGGAATACGGTTCTTGGAGCGTGGATCCATGTGAATCTCCTACCTGCAGCAGGATCCTCCTTCCCCCTTCCCATTCCCACCTTCTCTCCTTGCTCTTTCCCCCTCTGTGGTCGCCGCTTGCTGGGCTCCCCAACCCACTATATTCCATGCCAGCTCCCATGGGGCACCCCATACCCAGTGGGACAGATGGGGACTTGCAGAGGGGACCGGGTGCATCCTCGCACGGCCATCCCCGCCGCTGCGAACCCGGTGCCCGTGCCGGTTGCAGGTGATGTTACTGGGAGACTCGGGCGTGGGCAAGACCTGCCTCCTGACCCGCTTCAAGGACGGGGCCTTCCTCTCCGGGACCTTCATAGCCACCGTGGGCATAGATTTCCGGGTGAGACCGCGGCGGCTCCGAGGGCCCGTCCTGCCTCTCGGTGGCCTGGACGGGACGGGACCCTGGGCACGAGCCACACAACCACGTGGACGAAACTCCCACCACCGGAGCCGGGAGAGCTGCTCTGGTGCTACAGCTTCAGGCTGCTCTCCTTTGCATTAGCCTCTGCTTTCCGCTGCACTCAATTCCTTTAAATTAGGCAAAAGTGCCACTTTAGCGTGTCCTGCCCACCTGAGCGGGAAGCTCTTCCAGGCAATCCTGGCTTGTTAAGGTCATAAAATCCCATTTAAAGCCCCCTGATGCTCTCTGTGTGCTGAATTTTAGCTGCCTTGGCTCTCTGGGGGATGCAGCAGTTCAACAGGCTGCCTTCCAGCAGGAACCATCAGCTCCAAGAGCATTTCAAGGTGCTGGGAGACACCAAGGAGCATCAGTCCCGGGCAGTGTTTGGCCACCGTCACTCTTGATGTCCTGGGGGTCTGAGCTGCAGCCTGGGGGGGTTCCTGGCCGCTCTGTCCCCCGTCACTCAGGGCTTGTGGGGAGGAATTGGGAGCTCAGCACGGGGTGCTGGGCAGAAACGGGGAGCAGATGGAGCCACTCGTAGCCTGCTCTTCCAAGGAATTCATGCAGGTGTCTTTTTCTCACAGGAGGTAATTTTCAGAGCATCCTAAGATACTATTATTATTATTATTATTATTATTATTATTATTATTATTATTATTATTATTATTTTCAGCTCATTTTTGAGCTTACACTGAAGTTTCACACGAGTTGAATTTCTCTTTCAAATCATTGCCATCAACCCTGTTTTTATACCAGTCTTCTGCCTCCACAAGGGTCCCTCCAAGTTAACCAAAAGTCTTCACGTGCCCCGCAAGCCGCTCGTGCTTTCCTCTTTACGGGCCGTTGGAGGGAAGCCGCTGCGTTGGCAGCGGTTGCTCAAGGCGCTCCGATAACCACCGGAACCGCCGGTGCCGATGCTCTTCCGCGTCCCCAGCGGTGGCAAGACCCGATGTGTGGGGCCCCACGGCTGGCAGGATTTCCGTGTTTTGCTGCATGGAAATATGTGTTATTCGCAGCGCTGTATGGGGGCGTCTGCAGGTGCACTTCTTTAAAGTTCTTATTTTGAGTCTTTAAGATGCACCCGAACTTGTGCTGCAAGGGGACGTGTCCTGGGCAAGATCCCAGGGGTGTCATGAGGTGGCTCTTAGCATCCCGGGGCCTTAAATGGCTGAGAATAGCCAAAATACATAGGGCAGCTGTTAGTGCCCTAAGTATCAGCTTGGACCAGAGCTCTGCACGGGGGCTTCTTCACTGGCCTGCTGTCTGTCACCTCATGCTTTAAGGCCTGATATTGGGTGCTTTGTCCTGGGAGCAGATCCCTGCTGTCAATACTAGGCAAACTGGAGAAAAATGGAGTGGAGGGGGGAGGGTTTTTTCTTGCTTGCTGGTGCTCTGAGCTGTCCCGAGCTCCTCGGGTGCCTGGAGCTTGTCCATAGGGAGCAGAGATCCTGCAACAATACCCATTGGTATGTTCTTTAAGCAGACAGGCTAGAAAACCAGCTAGCAAGCCCTCCAAGCAGCTAGCAAAGGCACAAGGCAGTTTTGTGCTGGGCAAATATCATGAAACCCCCATCAATTTTATTAGCAATTGCACATTTGCATCCACTCGATGCAAAAGCTCCCTGCGTCCCCTGGCACTGACGGGCGCCGTTTGCTCCTCTCCTGCAGAACAAAGTGGTGGCCGTGGACGGGGTGAAGGTGAAGCTGCAGGTGAGTGTGGGTCCGGGGGGGCTGCTAGGAGGGGAGGTGCCCCCAAATCTGCCTCCTGATGGTGCCAGTCGTGTCCTTCCCTCCCGTGTCCTTCCCTGCCGCTGCTCCCGGTGCCGCTTCCCGCAGATCTGGGACACGGCGGGCCAGGAGCGCTTCCGCAGCGTCACCCACGCCTACTACCGGGATGCCCAAGGTAGGTGCGGGGCCCACGGGAGCTTTTCCGTGAGCCGGAGCGGCGATTCCCGCTCTCTCTCTCCCCACGCAGCCCTGCTCCTGCTCTACGACATCACCAGCAAGCTCTCCTTCGACAACATCCGCGTGAGTACCTGGAGCCTCTGCTCCCCGTGCCTCATTTTGGGGCATCCCGGGCAGTTTTGTGCCCATTTTGCACCCAGACACGAGGCGCCCCTTGCAGCCCCGGCCAGCCCAGAGCTCATCCCCAGGCCAGGTGCCTCTGGCTCCCTGCATTTTGTTGCAGGATGTTGTTAATTGTCAGAGGGGGGAAACGCACGTGGGGACACATTTGAGTGATTTGCCCAGTGGTTCTGCAGTAATTTCCATCTGAGGTGCCTTTTTCCCGGTTCGGGGGGGTGGGAAGGCTGGATGGGAGCACGGCCGGCCCCCCTCGCCCCACGCAGCCCGTGTGCCCGCAGGCCTGGCTCACCGAGATCCACGAGTACGCGCAGAAGGACGTGGTCATCATGCTGCTGGGCAATAAGGTGCGTGCGGTGCTCCTGTCCTGTCCCGTGGCCGCGGGGTGACAGGGCTCGGGTGGCGTCGCCTGCGTTGGCTCATGCTGCTTTCTGGGCTCCCCAGGCCCCGATGTCCCCCAAAGGTTTTGAAGGACCGGGGTGCTGGTGTCACCAGCTGCCAGTGGGAGGCAGCGCAAAGCCGAGATGCTGCTGGGTGCTGGAATCTCCCGATTCCCGATGCCCACCCCTGATCCTGGATCCCCCCAAGCTCCTGGTTCCCAGCTGGGTACCAGATGCTCCCTGGGCTCCAGATCGTCCCGCATGGTCCCAGTGTCCCGCTCGTTCCCAAAGTCCCCAGCTGCCAGCTCTGCCGGGAGCAGGACAGCCCTGCAGGTCCTGGGTGCTCTCAGCTCCCAGTGGGACGTGGATGTTCCCAAGTGCCCCCTGTGCCACCAGGCCATCCCCAGATGGATACTGGAGCAGGCACTGATGCTTTCCCCCTCTTCAGGCCGACGTGAGCGGTGAGAGGGCTGTGAGGACAGAGGACGGAGCATCACTGGCCAGGGTGAGCCTATGGGGGCAGCAGGAGCCTGTCCCCCCAAGTCCCCTGTCCCCAGCTGGTGGCTCCTGCCAGCCCCAGCAGGACATTCCCGCATGGCACTGACGGAGCCGCTGGCCCCGCAGGAATACGGGGTGCCCTTCCTGGAGACCAGCGCCAAGACGGGCATGAATGTGGAGCTGGCGTTTCTGGCCGTGGCCAGGTGGGTGACGGGGCCACCAGCCGGAGCGGGGGGCACCAGGGCCCCCCCAGGGCTGACGCGGTCCTGCCGCCCGCCCCAGGGAGCTCAAGCAGCGAGCGGCGCAGCAGGAGGAGCAGCCCCGCTTCCACATCCATGACTACGTGGAGGCGCAGAAGGAGACATCCGGCTGCTGCGCCTTCGCCTGAGCGCACGTGCCGGCGGCACGAGGACGGAGCGGGGCCCGGGAGCAGCCGGAGCAGCGGCCAGAGCCTGCCCGGGAGTCCCAGCATCATCCAGAGGCTCCAAGGCGGGGGCGGTTGGATGGACACAGCTGCACCGGCCCTGATCGAGCCCTGCTTGGTCCTTTCCCACCCCACCGTTGCCTTCTCCAGCATCGGAGGCAGGCCGGGGGCCCTCACGCCCGGCTCCTCTTGCACAGGGCTGGTTTTGGTGGATTTTCTGGACAGGACGTGGGTGAGGCTGCAGGTCATCTGTGCACATGGATGCTCAGGCGCTCCCGAGCAGCCGCTCGCTGCGTCCCCTCTTGTGGCCACGTTGCTCTCCCGTCTCCGTGTCCCCTGCACCAAGCCCTGCTCAGGTCCTCCCTGCGGCTTTGCCCAAAGCAGCATCTTGCCCTTAACGGCCTAGGAGGAGCAGGAGCTCCCTGTTCCCAGGGTGTTCCCTGAGCTACCTCATCCCTCTGGTCCCCAACACGCTCCTTCTGGAGACAGTGGGGAGCTGCTGATTCCTGCTGCAGCTCAGTGGTTTGGGACCCCGTCACGGTGGTACCAGGAGACTGTACAAATCCCCAGCCCAAAGCCTCAGTTGAGGTTTTCTCCTGCTGCTGTGCATGCAATGCAAATATTTCCTCCTGCCCCTGGCAAATAGCAGATTAAACCCACTCGGTAGCGAGCGGATGCCTGGGATGCTTCAGCCGTCGCACGCGGATGCCGGCCTCGTGGGAGCCGGAGCAGCCGGTGCGAGGAAGTGCGGGATCCGGACACGGGGCACGGACACGGATCACACAGCCCCTCCGGAGCCTCCGTGCCCCTTTCCTGCAGCGCTACTCCCGCTCTGCTCCTGGTGCTCACGGAATTAAAGCTCCGCGTTTCCCGGGCCTGGCGTCCTCCTGCTTTCCTGCGCGTGGGAACGCGCTGCCTGCGCTCCCGACGTGGGCGGCCGCCACGGCCCCTTCCTCCTCGCTGGGCTTGCGCTGCGCATTTGAGCCCGTCCAAAGGTAAACACGGGCTGCTAAACGCCCCCTGCGCCGCCCGGCATTCCCCGCATAGCTCCGCGTCAGCACAACCGGCCCTGCCAGCGCCCTCCTCCAGGCCGAGCTGTCCCAAGGCCCGGCCGGGGGCTGCAGCCGGATCCCGCCCAGCGCTGCGCGGCTCCGGCTGCTTCCTCGGGTGCCGCGTTTCTGCCTTATCTCGGTGCCGGGCTGCGACCATCCCCGCCGCGGCCGGGGCGCGTTTCCTGGCTTGTCCTGGAGCGCCCGGCCCCGCTGTCCATCCGCAAACCTCCGCTGCGGGGATGTCGCAGCTGCTGGGGGACGGGGACACGGGGATGCTGCTCTGCGGATGCCGGGAGCTGCGTGTGCCCCAAAAACGCATCTCCCCGGGCTGAGGAGGCCAGTTTGGAGCGGAGGAGGTGGATGGAGTCACCAGCAAAGCACGTGGGGCCTGCGAGCACCAGCTTGGCCAGGTGCTGGGATAAGGACACGTTGGTGCAGCCCTTCCTGAGCTTTCCGAGCCCTTCCCAGGGTGTTATGTCTCCCTCTGCTCAGTGCTGCTCCGGAGGGATGTTCCTTGCAGAGTGTTGGAATTCCTCCTCCCTGCTCCTCACCTGCAACACAATTAAAGCAATTAAAGGTCCCAACAAAGACCTGCAGCCACCCTGAATTTTACCCGGGCCATGTGGGAGGAGCTGGCGGCCGCAGGCTCTGACCTGGCAGCATCCTGCACCGCAGCTCCTGCCACCATTCCCGCTTCCCGGCCGAGGTCAGGAGCCTGGAGAGCTTTCCCTGACCCGGGGCCGTACAGGGTGCCGGGTGCCAAGTGAAAGGGGAACCAGGCTGCACATTGGCTTCCGCAGAGCGGCGGTTCCTGGAAAGCGCCGCTCCGCACCCACTTCCCCTGCCTGGTTTTCTTCGGCGTTGAAGCATCGCACAGCGCTCCGAGCCCGGGCTCTGAGCAGCTCCATGGCCTGGTGTTAAAGATGCTCAAGCTGGGATAGGGATTGCGGGAATGGCGGATCCTGGGAACCCACCAGGGATGCCCCTTGGGAACCCTGGCCAGGCAGGGGTTTCACTTTGACATGCACTGGTCCCCCTAGGAGGCCCCTAAATCCCATAGGAGGAAGAGTTGGCAGCTGTAGATGATGCTGGAGTCATGAGGAAGGGAGCACAGAGACCATCTCGATGCCGGGGATGCCATCTGGGAAAGGGATGGGGAGTGGAGCCAGAGCCCACAGAGCCAGAAGGGCTCTGAACACGCTGGGAGCTGAGAGGCTGCAAAGTGGTCCCATATGTGAGGGATTTGGGCACGGCGGGAGCAACCTACTCCTGCAGGGAAGGGATTGGAACTATGGGGAGGAATCTGGCCCCGCAAGAGAAGGATGGATTTCCACAGGCAGCGACTGGGCCCCATGGAGAGGCAATTTGGCTGCACCTGGGAGCAACGTGGCCCCACAAGGGAGCAACCTGACTGCAGGGGGAGCAATCGGGTCCACTGGGCAGTGATCCGGCCCCGAACCGGCCCCACTGCGCGTGGATCGGACCCCACCGCGGAGCAGGCGGCCCCTCCCGTCCAGGCAAAGAGGGCGTGGCTCCAACGAGACTATTTAAATAACCACGCCCATTATACCTTATATGGATTACACCCCGGCCAGCCACCTGTGATTGGCCGCCTGTGCCGCGGCCCCGCCCCCGGCTATAAAGGCGGCGGCGGCGGGCGCGGCGCGCAGGCGGGAGCGGCGGCGGCAGCGCGGGCGCCATGAGCTCGGCGGCGCCGCCGGCCCCGCGGCTCTGCTGCCTCGAGCGGAGCCCCACGGGCTACGGCTTCCACCTGCACGGCGAGAAGGGCAAGGCGGGCCAGTACATCCGCCTCGTGGAGGCCGGCTCGCCGGCCGAGCGCGCGGGGCTGCGCGCCGGCGACCGCCTGCTCGAGGTGGACGGCGACAATGTGGAGGCGGAGAGCCACCAGCGCGTGGTGGAGCGCATCCGCGCCGCCGCCGGCGCCGTGCGCCTGCTCGTCGTGGAGACGCTGCCCGGGGAGCCGCGGCCTGGCGCGGGCGGCGCCGACACCGCCGCGGCACCGGGCGGCGACACCGCCGCGACACCCGGCGGCGACACCGCCGAGGCGGCGGCCGAGCCCCCGCGCCGGGAGCCGAGCCCGGCGGCCGAGCGGGTAACGGGCACCGGGGCGGCCGGGGGGACTTCCAGGGCGGCCGGGGGGCACCGGGGAGGCCAGGGGGACATCCAGGGCGGCCGGGGCTCCTCTGCCACCTCCCTCCTTCCTCTAGGATGTCACCCCTACGTGACACCTCCGTGGGTGGCTCTCCCCATCGGATGTTTGCGTCTCTGCTCTCCTTCCCTCTGGAAAAGTGCCCGGGACTCAGCTGAGTTTTAGCAGCCCCGTGGGCTGCTCTTCTCTCCCCTGATTTTCCCGTCTCTTCTGTTTCTCGCCCTACCTGTTCCTGGGGGCGGCAGGAGGGCCCTGGGCACTGCCAGGACGGGGGCGGCGGGCGGCCCGGCTGCTGCAGGACCAGTCAAACAGGGTCAGAAGCGCCCGAGGAAACTGGCCCGGCGCGGTGCCGGTTCGGGCAAGCCTGGCCGCCCGCTTCGGGCCGCACGGGCAGCGAGGAGCCGCTCTGGGACAAGCTCGTCGGGCAGGGATTTTCTCCATGGGTCGGGGCGGGTGATGCCGTGTCCTGAGAGCTCCTGCTTGGAGCGCGGCCCGAGGCGCCGTTGAACATTTATCATATTCAGAAGGCAAAGACTCTCCTTCTGAGTGTCAAACGGCTCCGAAATGCAACCGAGAGGTAGAGTTGAGGGCAGGGAGTGCAGTGTTTTTGTCGCACACCCCTCCCTTCAAGGGCAGGATGTGTCTCCAGCAGCGGAAGGGGTGGTGACCTTCCCGGGAATGGGGCTCTGCTCCCGCCGCTCCGCGGGGCTCCGTGCACAGACACTGATTAATTCAGGAATGTCAGCCTTAAACAGCGTGTGGGAGGCAGCTCTTGCACAAACAAAGCAATATAGAGAGGTAAGGAGTTGGGAAATATCTGACCTTTCCTGCCCAGCATGGTTTCTAAGAGACGCTTTTGGCCACCCGAGATAATGCTGCTTTTTATTTACCCAGTGAAAACATGTGTTTGTTGTTATGACGAAGATGGGGATGGTCTTCCCAGCAAGTGGCCTTCCCCGGGTCTGTTGGCCCATGGAGGAGATGAGGAGGCTCCTCTGCCAGGTCTTGCACCATCCTTCTTGGGAACAGGTCAAACAAGCTGTGAGGGCAGCACCGCTGTCACCAACAGCTGCCTTGTCACCAGCCGGGGACCCTCCTTCACCAACCAGGTCCTCTTGGAGGAACTGAAGGCCAAGGCTTTGCTGGAGAAGCCTCGTTCTGGCTCCAGGCACCAAGGAGGCCCCGGGATGGTCGGATCCTGTGTCCATTCCCATTGTGGGTGCTGAGTCTTCCAGCAAAGTCTCCCGGGATGTTTTGCTGTGGCCGCCTGTAATTCCCTAGTGTTTTGGATTCAGCGGTGTTGGAGCTGGCCGGGAATCGCTGCAGGATTTATGAGTGTGTCCTGTTGGTTGGGTGTTTCCAGGAGGATTGGCAGCTGTAGTTGGATTGTGTGGGATCTCCTGAGCAAAGCGGGAGCCGGGAGGGAGGAGGACTTCAGAGAAGGTGTCGGGAGGGAGTGGATGGACTTTGGTGTCTCGCTGAGCCCTCATCCCACGGGTTTTGCTGAGGAGCGCATGTTCTGCTCTCGCTTTCGTGTTGGACTTCAGCCCGGTGCCGGGTGCGTGTTCCCTGTGGCCTGGCTGATCCCTCGGGACGTGCTGAGGAACAGACAGCTCCGGTTAAAGGCTCCCGTTAATGCCCAACAGCCCTGTCTGGTGGCAGGGTGGCTGTGAGGGGACAGATTCCTTGCCTCCATGACAGGGACAAGGTGTTTTGTTCCCAAGGCATCAGGTGAAAACAAGCCGGGAACACCCCCTTGTCCTTGGCAGCCAGGGGAAGGATCCGTCCCTGGTCTGTCCGCCGGGACAGTGGAAGCGGATTGGGAGCCCTCGGGATCAAGTCACATGCAGGACAAAAGTCCTGTTATCCCAAGAGAGTCCTGGGCTTTCCAGCCAGGGCGCTTTAAGGACACACGTTGTGCTCGGTGATAGCTGGAGGACAAAGTCCAGCTGGATCAGATGATGCCTCTCTGTTGGGAACTGACACACTCGTGGCACCTCCTGTGCCTGCCTGCGTACTTAAGGATGCTCTGTCTTGCTTTGGGGGAAATGGGCTGGATCTGATGAAGAGGGAGACCCTCTGGAGAGGGTTGGGGACAGCTGGCTGAGCTGGGCACGGTGTCCCCTGTCCTCATGGCTCCCGCTGCTTCCCTGCGTCCCGGCCGCGCGTGTCGCGTTCCCTGCCGCGTGCGGGGCCTGGGAGCCGCAGCTGGGCTTTCCTTGCTCCGATGGCTCTGGCTATGTGACCGCTTGCTGCCCGGTGGGCACCAGCTTAGGATGGGGGGGGACGTGCTGGGGCCACCCATATGTCACCGAGGCAGCGCTTTGCCCCAGGCTAGTGTGGCCTTCTGTGGCTCGCTTTGGGCTCGCTGAGTGCTCTCCGTGAGCTGGAAATAGAGGGCGAATACGTGCCGTTTCGGGGGCACAATGTGCTTTTGGGTTGTCCTTGAGGGACTGCAGGTCTTGCAGCCCTGCAGGTGCAAGGAGGGTGGGCTGGGGACGCAAGGCGTGTGGGTTGAAGGCGCTGGTTGGCTTTTCTGCCATTGCAGAAACAGGAAATTGTCTGGGCTTGTGCAAGGCTGTGCGTGTCCAGCTGCCCCACCACGAATGGTGCTCAGCAGGTAGCAGGAGGCTCTGCGGCCAGGGCTGGGTGTTGGGGCAGAAAAATGAGGAAGAGCGGGATGGGAGACTCTTCATCCAAGAGAGCAGCTCTTTACTGTGACGGGAAGATGCTCAGTGTGATGAAATGGGAAGGGCCACGTGGAAAACCATCCTGGAGGACGCTCCGTAGCGTTTCTTTGCTGAGCAGAGGGGCTGGGAGAGGTTTCATGCAGCGGTGCGGGATGGGGAGCATCCCTGGATCCCGGCGTGGTGCCCGCGGGATCCGCGAGCTCAGCCGGGGCTCAGGGCCAGCGCCAGGGCTTTCTGAGCCCGAGCTGGGAACACACTGGGCGGCCTGTGCACGGGCGCCTGCCTCCCTCCCCCTCATCCTCCCATCCCCCTGCCCATCCGCGTGTGCCATCCCTGGGAAGTGGCTCCCGCTCGGGGATGAGGGGCGGCTTTCCCAGCTGGGGAGCATTCCTGGTGCTTCTCCCAGCGGGAGGGGGACGTTTGCATGTCTCAGAGTCCTGTTTGCTCTGTGGGGCTGGCCGTGCCTTTATTTGCTTAACGAGCCCGTTGCTCCTGGCTGCCAGCAGGGCCCGCGGCCAGGCGGGCGCTTCTGCCCCGAGGGGCCCGGAGCTCCCACGCTCCGACGGGGCCGGCATCCGGCACCTATAGGGAAGCTTTTCTCATCGTTTGATGTCTAGAAACTCGGAAAAGGAGAGGAGGTTTTAGGGAGGCTTCTGGGCTCCCTTCCTGTTTCTGCCGTCGTGACTGCAAAACCCGCTGTGGAGAGGTGCGTGCGAGTAACGGTGCAGGGAGGGGGGATCCCCTGCCTTGAAAACCGCCAGGGTTTAGGTACCCGAGAGCCCTCGGGCACTTGTGCACGGGCAGAGTCACTGGGCTGGGAGCAGAGCGCTGCCCGCAGCAGCTGATCCCGATCCCGGCTCTCCGGAGCACGTTCCGCAGCGCAGGGAGCCCCGCTCCGAGGGGCGGCACGATGGAGACCTCCCAGCCCCCTCCTGCAGCTGCAAACCGTGCAGGAGGCCCCAGTGTCACTCGAGGCCGTTGGTTTGTGGCCAACGCCGTCCCTGCGGGTTCATCACCGTGGTTCCCTCTGTGTGACGGTGCCGTGGAGCCCGCCGTGGGGCCGTGCGCCGACACATCCGGGGCCTCTTGCCCTGCGGATCCCTTCCCGGGGCTCACGCCTCCCCAGGCCCACGCTGCTGGGAGGCTCTTGAGAAAGTTTCAGCAAAACCGCGGGCCGTTGGCGGCTGCCGGAGCGGCGCCCGGGACGGGCCCTTCCGTGGGCAGGGAGCTGTCCCCACCGCACAGCGCTCGGCAGCTGCTGCCACCTCTGCCAGGCGCCCCCGGGCTTCCCTCTTGCAAATCAGCGCTAAATTAAAGAGTTACCATGAGCAATATCCTCCTTCCCGCGGGAAAATACAAGCGAGCATCCTCGGGCTGGGGCGTTGGGGTAATTTGGGGAGGCGATCCTGCTTTTGGGAACGTTGCACCAGGGCAGCTGGAGTTTAACTGGGAAATGAATTGAGTTTTCTCCTGAGCCGGAGGGAAAGGGCTGCATGAAAAGCGTCTCCAGCGGAGCGCTACGTGATGCGTTTGCGCAGCGCGGCTGCTTTGCATGTCTTTTGTGCCCGGGCAGGATGCGGGTGACGGAGCTGGGGAGGCGTGTGAATTTGCTGGCCCGGGGTCCTGGCAGGTTTTGTTGCTCTCTGTTGTTGAGCAATCCCGCCTGCCCGCGGGCCTGTCGCTGCTTGCAGGGCTGCAGGGCGTTTCCTGAAACTCGCTTTGCGCTTGCAAAGCTGCCTGGTGTTGCCGTGAGCACGTCCTCGCAGTGCTAATGGGCCCCTGCCTTGGTTGCAGGGCGCTGGGGAAGGGAGGCTGGGCGTGCACCTAGTGCAGGGGGAGGCTGGGGGCACTGGAGGCTGGTCCGGGGGTGGAGGGCAAGGAGGGGGTGGCAGGACGTGCAGCTCTGCGGCAGGGACTCGCTCCGCTCGTTCCGGTGCTTGCGGCAGCGCGTGGGCCCGGGGAGGCTCGTGGAGGGTGAGGAGCTGGAGCTGGTGGAAAGATCTTGGAGCTGGTGGAAAGATCTCGAGTCTTGCTGGGATGGGGGGCTTGGAGAGGGGCCCTGCCAGGCTGGGGAGGCTGCATGGGGACCCTGAGAGCCTACCCACGAGATGCTCATGTCCTAGCGCTTCCCAGGGAGGCTGGTTCCTCTTGGACCGGCTTAGCCGGTGCCCAGGATGTGGTGGCGGCGAAGGAAAAGGCCCTGGGTTTTGATCAGAGCTGCAGGGTGGGAACAAAGATGCCTCCAGTTCTGCCTGGGGAGTCTCTGCCAGGAATTGGCAGGACTGGATCCAAGGGCGGAGCTGGGATGCGATGCCACAGGGCTCCTTATCCAAAACACCTTGTGGCTCCGTGCCGTGTAGCACGGGTACCCTTGGTCCCCAGCAGGGAAGAGGTGCACGGGAGAGGTGACAGTGCAGGGTCTGTGCCGGACAGGGGAGCTGAGCCCTCATCCTCGCCGGGCTGCCGGCCACGGAGCGGGAGGAAAACCTCTAACAAGGCTCTGCTGATTAAATACAGTGAGCAGGTTGATGGACGCCCCTGTCCTTGGATCCCCTCTGGTCACTAAGGTTTGGGGCTCCTGTTCCCTGGAGGCCAGAGGGGCCGGGACAGGTGGTGCCGGGTTTCTCATTGAAGGGGACACTCCGGTGCAGAGCGCTTGCCCGGTCAATGGGCAGGATACAACTGGGAAGGGATCGGATGTGTTTTCGGGAGGCACAACCATGGCAGGGCGTCCGTGGCACGTTTGATTTGGACACGGCCTGGCCTGAGCGGTGTCCTCCGGGAGCAGGGCCAGCGCTGGGGTCATGGGGTGCCCTGTTGGCAAGCCCGGCCCAGCCTGGGCTTTGTCCCGATCCATCCATGTGGAGCAGCCCGGAGGCTGTGCCAAGGGCACTGGGGCAGCGTGTGGGCACAGCCCGCGCCCCCTTCCCGGCAGGGAACCAGGGCAGGATCCCGGGAGCAGCGCTCTTTCCTCCGGGCAGGGCTGCCCTCTGCTTTTGCCCTGTCTGGGGGCCTTCCCTGTGCTCCCCCTACCTAGGCACTCTGCCAGGGATGCCGTAGGATGGAAATGCGATTGCCCGGGGCAGTAGGAAGGAGCATTGGGTGCAATCACCTCCTCAGCCCAGAAACATGCCGCGATGCCCGGAGCTGCGGGCCGTGCTGGGTGCGAAGGGCGGCTCTCAGGGTCGGGGATACAGGGATCAGGATCTCTCCGGGAATCAGGATCTCTCAGGATCCCGGCGGTTGCAGCAGGGCCTCGCCGCTGGGCGTTGCATGCGGCCCTGGGGACGCCTCAGCCTTGACCCCGGCACGTTGTGCAAGAGCGACGGGGTTTTATCGCGGCAGGAGGACTCTAGCATGGGCTGGGCTTAGGTGGCCCACGCGAATGTGTCGCCCTGGCTTATGTCAGCCCGGGTACTTTGTGCCCCGCTGCCATCCGCGGTGCCACGAGCCCCAGGATCTGGCAGTGGGAAAGGGAATGTCAGAGACATGAGGAGCTGCGTGGTGCAGATGCAAGGGAAATGCGTGCAGTGCAGCCACCATGAGGATGATACGGAGCACAAATATTAGGAGAAAGAATAAATATTAAACACCCAAAATAAGGAGTATATGAGGAACACTACTGGTGGTTCAGCTGCTGAGGTGGAAAGTTCTACTGAGCATTGGGAGCTGGTGATCAGGCAGTGTTTGAGCTAGCAAAAGCACCCCATATAAGCTGGGCTCATTGATGAAGGAAGGCAAAGGCAGCACTGAAAAAGGGGAGGAAAAACGGGCTGTTTTATCTGGGTGCACATGTGGAAAAGTGGCGCTTGGCTGCTGTTGCGAGGCCCGTGCCAAGGCGACGCTCCGAAGCACGTCAGGTTTCTCTCTGCTGTTGGGTGATACCCGGTGTTGGCCCGCTGGGTGTTGGCTCCCGGCGCAGGTTAATGCCCCGCGGCGCACGGCCCTGGCCCCGCTGCGTTCCCCGTTTTGCAATTGCAGAGAGCCTCACCAGGAGTCGGACTCGTCATCTCGGACACTCCGGCCGTGTCCCAGCCTGTCCCAGTGTTGCCGGTGGGGTGGTTGCGTGGGCTTGGTGCTCCCTGGCAAAACTCATGGGGTGGCCGGAGGCCAAAACCTGCAAGGGGAGGATGGAGCCCATCACAGGGGCATCCCAGGCTACACCTGCCCCTCCGCCTTCAGGAAGGTGGATTGTAATCCCGACCCTGGAGGAAGGCGTCCCCATCACCTCCCATGGGATTAGCGTGCCCTCTGCCCCCCCTCGCTGGCTATGGAAGCCTGGAAACGGCCTTTTCACGGCCTTTCTCTTGCTTGTTGCAGAAGGAGCTGCGTCCTCGGCTCTGCTGCATGAAGAAGGGCCCCAACGGCTACGGCTTCAACCTGCACAGCGACAAGAGCCGGCCGGGCCAGTACGTGCGGGCCGTGGACCCCGACTCGCCGGCGGAGGCGGCGGGGCTGTCCCCGCAGGACCGCATCGTTGAGGTGCGTGGGCACGGCGGGCCGGGCTGGGCACCGGCCGTGGCTCGGGGCCCGCACGTCGCTTCCCACCCTGCGGCGCCGCGACGGCAGCCGCGCTGGCGCCCGGCCCGCGCTCCGCTGGTTATCTCTAACCCGCCGGGACGGGCGGCTCCCGCGCGGGCAGAACTGCCCCCGAGCCGTCCCGAGGGCGAGGCGGGTTGTGCAGGACGGGTGCGAATGCCGGAGGGGTGCGATGGTCCCGCCTGGCGGTGCCAGTCTCCTGCTGGAGCCCCGAGCCGGCTGCCCGGCCCCGGCACATGCCTTGCCTCGCGCTTCCTTGTACAATCCCATGCTAATCACTAAGAGAAAATCTGCTTTTAATGAGGTTTTGCTGGCCCCTCTTGCTAATCCGTGCAGGTCTCCAGCTCCGGATGTCTGTGGGAGGCTGTAGAGCAGCCGTGCTGTGCTTGGGGCTGCTTCCCAGAGGAGCAATAAGCCCTTTCCTGGGCTCCGGAGCTTTTCTTTGAATGAGCCCTTTCCTTTTCCTGAGCTTTTTCCCTCCACTGAGCTGCCCCTGGCTGTTTCTGCCTGTGTTTTCTTGGCCGTGCCGCCTGCCAGCAGCTGTCCAGAGCTTGGCACAGGGCAGGGGCCGGGCACGGCAGCAGCTGAACCGCCTCTGACCAGGGAACCTTCAGCCACATCTGTCCTACATCCATGAAAACCCTTTTTGAGAGGCACTGCCACTGAACTCCGGCTGGGCTGGTTGGAGAGGGATGTCCCCTCCTGTTCCTTGGGAATTGAGGGCTGCCAGGCTGAGATGGGAGCTGTGTATTGCCCTCAGGGCGCTGCTTCCCATGGATGCAGATAGCCTGGCTGGAGCATTCTGCTGCTCTGAGCTGCTGGGAATGCCCTTATGTCCCAGGGATTGTGGTCCTCAGGGCAGAGGACCCTGCACGTCACCCTGGGATGCTCCCAAAACCCGTTACGTGCCTGAAAGCAGTGCCGGGGGCTCCGTGCAACCCTCACAGCCCCGTGTCCCACAGGTGAACGGCGTGTGCATGGAGGGCAAGCAGCACGCAGACGTCGTGGCCGCCATCAAGGCCAGCGGCGACGAGACCAAGCTGCTTGTGGTGGACGTCCTCACGGACGAGTTCTTCAAGAAGTGCAAGGTGGTGCCCTCCGAGGCCCACCTGGAAGGTGGGTGGCTCGTCGGGGGGTTCCTTAAGGCCCCGTGTGTTGGGTGGGGATGTTGGGTGCCGTTGTTAAGGGGAGGTCTGCCCTGGGGTTACAAAATGCCCTCCGCTGGCTGCATCAAAACCAAGGATCCATGCAAGAATGGTGGGTGAGAGGCCTCCAGACCTCTGCAGGAGACAATTTCACCTGCACCTGAGGCCAAATCCCGTGGCTTTGCTTTAACATCTCGCTGGCCAGCGGGCCCCGTGCAGGGGTGGCCCGGGAGGCGCCCGGTCTCCAGCGCACTGCGTGCGTGGGCAGGAGCGCTTTATGGCCCTGCCGGTTACAGTTTGACAGGGTTTATGGCTTGGGGAGCGTGGGGCGGGTGGCGGGTGCCCTTCACCCTCCTACACAGCCCGGCGCTGCCCTTGGCCCCTTCCCACCCAGGAGGGTTTCCCGCGGGAAGCCCTGTCCCCATTCCTGTGCACAAAGACCTCAAAGCCTGCGGGTAAGAGGCTCCTTCCACCCCCATTCTGTAGCCAGCAGCAGGATGGGCCTGGCTGGTTTAATGAGGATTAATTAATCCTAATCCGGCAGAGCTGGGGTGCAGGGAGGGTGGCACTGCTCTGCTCGTGGGTTTTGGGCACTTCCATGGCCTGGGGGAGGCCTGGAGCAGCCAGAGCAGGTCTCTCCTTACCCAGCACCCCTGTCTTGTCCCTACAGGTCCTTTGCCAGAACCGGTTGCCAATGGTGACGTAGGGAAGGTAAGAGATTCCCATCTCCTTAATTCCCCCGGTCAGACTGTGCCCATGGATCCTGCTAGTGTTGGGGTCCCTCCTGCCCTTAGCTTCTTGCCTAGGGAGCTGGTACCCCTGGACAGGGGGGTCATTTGGGAGGCTGAGTATCCCAGAGGTGGCTGTGAATCCTCCTGCCTCCATCCTGGAGGTGTTCAGGGACCACGTGGCTCCTCCTCTGCTGCCTCCTCCTCCTCCTCCTTTCCTCTAATGGCACTGGCTGGAGAGCCCAGCCGGGCTTTAATCCTTCCTGGCCTGGAGCGGAGCGCCCTGGAGGTATTTATTAGTGTGGAGCACGTAGCAGATTAGGTGCTGGAAGGATTTCCCAGCCCCCTTCCCGTTCCCTGCCCCAGGGAAGAAGCCACAGGAGCCTCTGGCCAAGGTGCCCTCCCCCACCCCAGAGAGTGATTCTTGGGGTGGAAAAAAACCACGTTTGGGCCCCGGGGAGGCTCCAGGGTGAGATTCCCCGTGCGCGGCAGGGCGAGGCGCGAGCCGGTGCCGCGCTGAGCGTGCACTCCCCGCAGGAGAACAGCGCCGGCCCGCGGCCCAGCTCCATGATCGAGAGCCCGGCCAGCCCCGGGCCGCTGGCCGCGTCCCCGACCCTCAGCGAGAGCCACGGAGAGGTACGGAGGGGAGCGGGGAATGGGGCTCCGGGAATGGGGAGCCCGCGGGCTCACGTGGCTCTCGTCCCTCCGCAGCCGAGTGAGGGCGAGAAGCGCAACTCGGCGCCCGGCTCCCTGCTGGACCTCGACATCCCGCTGGCCGTGGCCAAGGAGCGCGCGCACCAGAAGCGCACGAGCAAGCGCGCGCCCCAGATGGACTGGAGCAAGAAAAACGAACTGTTCAGCAACCTGTGAAGGCCCTGGGGCTCCCGCCAGCACCTCCGCCTCTCGGCACCTCCCCGCCGCCCCCGTTGGGACCGAGGCCGCTCCGTGCTGCGGCCCAAGGGACAGGGGCTCGTGGCGTCGCTCCAGGCGGGTTTTGGCCACCCGGGCGCTTCTCCGTCCTCTGCTTGAAGTCCTGTGAACCCTGGTAGACGTAAACAGAGATTTGGGAGTAACCGGTGATTTGGAGTGACCCCCAGCTGATGCCCAACACTTCTTAAAGTCTTATTTCCTCCTGTTTTCCCTCTTGTCCCACCTGAAACCCGTGTCTGGTGAAGCCCCCCCACATCACCCTCGATCTCTGTGTTGCTGCCTTAGGCTTTTAGTGACTTTTAGCCGTCCCCACCACCCGTCTGACCGAGGAGCAAACATGATCCCTGCAGGAATTGGTGCTTTTGGCCTCTGTCCGTCCATCCAGGTGACCCTGCGTGTGACATGTCCCGTGGCCACCCTCGGGGAAGAGAAAGCAGCGGCCTGGGGAGGTCTGGGGAGAGGAGAGGGTGTTTGGAGCCCGCACACAAAGCAATAACCACCGCAATACTCGCTCACTCCTGGAGGCAGAGCCGATCAGGGTTTAATCTGATGATGCTTAATTTAAACTCTTCTCAATAGACTCTGTCTATTTTTTTCCAGAATAAGAGGTTTTCCAATCACACCTTTTTTAAAAAAAAGTATTTTGTGGAAATTCTTTCCTGTGGATGTTTTATTCCGTGTTTTGTGATCGGGTGTTGTCGTACTGTCGAGCACGAGAGAAATTCTGTTTACTGGAATAAACCTTTCTGACTTCACCTGTTTTAAGGGCAAATCCTTCCTTTTTGGGGCAGTTTGTGTTTGTAGTGGGGGTGCCAGCAGTGCTACCAGTGTGTGGGTGATATCGGAAGCAGGTAACTCTCCCAGTCACCCTGTTCCTTCCTCAGGATAAGGGGTGCTGGGGCCGGTGCTCCCCATGGCTGCAGTGATGCTGGGGCTGATTTGAGAGCTGTTTTCCCACCTGGCAGGGCCAGGAGGGAGGATTGGGGACATTATGGCTGGTCCCCATGTGGGTTAGTGCCTGGAGGTGATTAAGAGGCTGTAATCCCAAGGAGGCTGCAATGAGGGGGGCCATTTCCTGCAAGGAGGCAGGGAATGCCTGGGAATTCCTGCCTGCTTGCAGGAAGCTGGAGCCTGGCTTTGCCAAGGATGGCAGCCCTGAAGGAGGGGACCTGGCACCCCCATCCCCCTGTCCCTGTGTGCCCAGGCAGCCCCTGTCCCCTCCATGGGCCCTGGGGCTGAGCCCTGGGGCAGGACCGCCAGCAGCAGCCTTATCCCACGGGGGATTTTTCCCTGTTTTCCCTGTCCGAGGGCTGGGGGCTCCATCCGGGCAGTGTCAGGGGGCTGTGCAGGACCCGCCGCAGCCTGCCTGGGTCACTGCTATTTTTAAGCTCATGCAATGCCGGGCGGCTTAAGCGCATCAGCGCTAAGCCCCGCTCCTGCAGGGCAGGGCGGGGATGGTCCGGAGTTATCTCTATTGCAGTTAATTTTTCTTTTTCTCCTTTTTTTTAACGCCTGGAGGAGAGCTGGCACTCAGGCACAGGCTCTGCTTTGTGCAGGCGTGCCAGGCCCCGCGCTGGCTCCGGCGGAGGTGGGAGGGCTCCGTGGTTGCCTGGGCCCCGGGAATGCCGAGCCGGGTGCTCGGCGGCTCCGGAGCAACCGCCCGGCAGCGAGGGGGGGCCCTCGGTGCCCGCCGGCCGCAAGGGCCCCGCGGGCAGCACCGGGGGAGAGGGGGCAGTTGGCAGCAAGATGAGATGCCCGGAACAGCCGCTGCTCCGTGGGGATGGTCCTGGTGGGAACAGCCTGGCATGGAGCCCCCCGGTGCTGGGGACACCCTCTGCCAGGGCTCCTCATGTGCCGTCTGGAGGAGCAGAGATTTTGGGCTTTTAAAAGCCAAAAATGCTGCAACATGGAAAGAGGCATCTCAAACCACAGGTTTGACTTTGCTTCTCCAGAGAGGGATCCCTGCTTTGGGGAAAGCAGGGAAAAGCAAGTAATATTCCCGGCCACTTTTATAAATATCGGTTGTGAGAGATAAAAGTCCAGTCCAGTTTGCAGATGGGGATCAAGAGCACAAAGCTTAATAGTAGCCTTCATAGCTGTAATGCCGGCTCTAGGTAGAGTTGCTCTTAATTCTATTACCGCCCAGAGGTTTTGCTGCAATAAAATCTGTGTTAAATGCTTGTAGGTCAGTGGGGAAAACATGCTAGAGCTTCAGTTGTCCTTGTTATCTACTCCTTCCTTTCTTTCAGCAAGCTTCTGCGCTATGGAAAGCATGCTGAGAGGGGCAGGAAAGGTCAGATGAAGTAAGTGCGTTAAAAGGTCTGTCCAGTGTGAGATTCAGTCGACTGCCTCTCCCTGAGCAATAGATCTCAAAGTCAGATATATCACAGTGCGGAGTGGTGGGCTGGTTCTCACCCCAAGGACATCTGCTCCCAGTACAAGGTGGTTTTTTCCTGCATTTATCTTAATAGGGAGCAGTGAACTGAGCCTCCGGGCTCAATAAAGCAAGTGCTGAACTGCTGTGTAGAATTTGCTCACTACTTAGTTTCTTTTCACATGTGTTTTCCTGCCACTAGCCTTCACAAAGGCAGGTGGATAAAAGAGAGTGAAATAGGGACCATGAAGAGGCTGGATCCTGGTCTCACCGTGATCCGCTTGGCTGGTATCTGGTGATTTTAAACACTTCAACAGACTGACAACTTTTCCCTTTGTGGTTTTATTGTGGATCACCAGCCTTCAGATTGAACTGGAGAAGTCCTGCTCCCCATGGACTGTCACCTTGGCTTGTTGGAAGGTGTGTTTTTAATTCTGGCCTTGTTTCGGCTGAGCAGAGGGATATGTCAAGGGATCTGCACGCCCCAGACACCAGGTTTCAGAGTCTGTGTTGTCCTCTATGACTTCTATCTTCTCGTCACCCAAAGAAAACAGTCAAACCCCATTGCTCCTACATCACACTTGCACATGACAGATTTTTATCTTTTTTTTGTCTTTTTTTTAATTCAAGAGAAAACAACGGAGCTACCAGTGTACCTGGGCTCCTTGTGTGGAACCAGTGAATTCTGCCCTAAGAATGGTGTAAGAGGAACACAGGGTGCTGCTCGTCCAGAGACTGTCTGCAAAATCAATTCACTGCTGCTGTTCCTGGTTCTACTGGGACAGTCAGATATTTTGAGGTTTAAAAGAGCCATTCCTAGTCAAGTCTGTGGATTAACAGCTGTTCTTGAGGACAAAATTTAAGGCAGTATTTCTGGCTGTTGCAGCAAAGTGCCAAGTTGATAAGATTGCAAAGTAACCCTCTAGATAGATGAGAACAGTCAAGTGCAATGCTGGCCTGCTGGTTATGCTCCATGCTCAGACCTTCTTGCAACCGTGTCCAACTCCTCATCCCGCCAAACCAGGCCTGTGTCTGGATGCATCCATCAGCTCTGGGGCACTACGGTGGGCAGCTTTAGGTCCCTATAGCTTTTCTCCTTCACGTGGCTTGTCTGTTCCAGGAGCCAGTGCTTCTCCTGCTCACTCACATCCAGCCTCAGCGTCACTTCTTGGAAGACACTGTTCGCCGCTACCTGTATTGTAGAGAGGATAATCAGCTCAATAAATCCCAGCCGCGGGACAAGCAGTGCTCATGTTCCCTGGGAAGAGGACGAGCTGTTACCCCACCTCCTTGAAATGAAGCTTCTTGAACATGCTGATACTGGCTTCGTTCTCCTGGCCAATCTTTGCCTCGAATTTGGTGATCCCTAAGTTTTTCACCCCTGCAATATAAACACAAACACGCTGCATATACGTTCCTGCTGCCTGCTGTCATATCTACAAAGGGAGAAAACTCCCATTTCTGGGGCGGATGCGTCCCTTAGCACACTGTCTGTATTACTAAGAGTATGTGCTTACAGATCATGATTTAATGACCATTTAATGACCATTCTCCTGCGTTGGGCCATCCTTACCATAGGACATCATCATCAGCGTTGCCTCCTTGCCAAATCCTTTGCCACGGTAGCTGGGCTCTGAAGGAGACAGGCACATGCACAAGTCAGGACGTGGCTATGCCAGAGATATCTGCCACGCTGGGTATTTTTCAGAAGAGATTATAATCCAGAGCAGCAGAGGATGCAGACCAACACAGAGCAATTTACCTGCAATCATAATTTCAATCTCGCCCAAAGTGGGATCCTCAACGTCGGTGAGGAACAAATTCACATCTCCCACCATGCAGTCCTCATCCGCCCGCGGCTGCGCCGACCACCGCTCCGTGTCCAGCACAATGAACGTGCACTCTGGGGAAAACGGAGCAGCATCTTCAGGGTGTGCTAGGAATTACACAGACTAAGACTAAAAATGAGAGCACCAAAACTTTCATCCTACGATTGAGGTCCCCCTGCTCCACCTCTCTTTGCAGGAAGTTTGGGCAAAGAATTCTGTTTGGTGCAAAGGAGCCTGAGACTTAGTGACTCACTTAATCCATCTTACTGCTACTGTCAGTAAGGCTTTTAATGCCAGCTAAGACAAATGTTCCAAGGTAAGATCTTTGCCAGGCTCAGTATTTTGTAGCTCACTGTATTTCTGCTAGGCTTTTATGGGCAGAGATTCACTATCTGCAGGAGAACCAGAGAACCAAGAGTTAACATATCTCAAACAGGTAATTATGAAGTTGTTTGGTTTCTTGTCAAAAAAATGTTAACTCCCTTCCACCTTTTTAGGATGATCAGACCTGGGATGTGCTGACTGTGCAGCAGCAGCTCAGCAGATAGCACTGTGGAAACTAAATCACTGTTATTTACGAAAAGCAGGGTAAAAAGGATGCCAACATCCATCGCTCTATTTCTCTGAGTATTTTACAGCCCTAAACATGCTCTGATCCATCCAGAGAAGCTACTGTGGCCATATTCCCATTCCTCCAAATGTCACCATTCTTCTGATTCTGACTATTGAAGGCTACAGGATGGTCAGGTTGAGGTTTTACATCCCCCGTCAGGCTCATGGGTTCCATTAATGAGGTGCTCTCAGCCCGGGGTGGTTTCTTAGCAGAAACCACTCGAATTCCTCACTATCGGCGTCCTCCCGCCAGCTGCGCTGCATCTCGTACTCCTGCTCCAGGCTCAGGGGCTCGGACGCCGTCAGGCGCTGCAGCTCCTCCGACTTCATCCACTCGTGGTACCTGGCGAGAATCGGAACCACATCACGGGTTAGCTACAACAGCACGGCCCGATTTCCACCCAGTGCTCCAAGGATCGTGAATCCACATGGAAACACCAGCCTGGCACTCACAGCAACCTGCAAACAGCTCTAAGACGCTTCCTCTTAGTTAACACAGGAACCTGTGCATTCCTTGGAAATTTAGAAGCACAAACGTGCCCGTTTTGCAGCTTTGGCTGGAAAGGGCCGCCCGCGGTTTTAAGCGCACAGGTCCAAGCACGCGGAATATCAGCACATTCCAGCGTGATGGAGATTGACGGAGCACCTCGGCGGCACGGACACGCTGACCGACATCGGCATCTCCGTGCGGCGGCGGCCGTGGCGCTGCCGGCCCTTCCAAACCAGCCCACGTTCCCAATCCCACTCTACCAAACGCCGTTTCGGCTGCACACGGACACGTTTTGCTATTGCACGGTCGTTCTGGACCGAGCGCAGCGCGCACCCGAGCAGCCGCCGCTCTTCCCCTTCCCTTGCATGCACCAGCGGCGGAGCTCGCTGTGTTATGTTCCGCTTTGCAAACGGAGGGCGCTATCCACGTCCTTCCCCGCGCGTTTCCTCCGCCGCGCCGCTCCCGGGGGGAACGGGGCTCCCCGCGCGCGCGCGCGGAGAAGCGAGGCCGCTCGCACCGGGGCACGTGCGCGGCCGTGTAGGGCACCAGCGTGGCCCTCCCGCCTTGCAGCACCGTGTCCTCGTTGAGCCTCATGGCGCCGGGCCCCGCCAACGGCCGCCGTGCGGGGGGAACGGCGCGCGCGGCCGGGCGGGTATCGGGAGCGCGCGCGGGTACCGGCGGCCACCAGGTCTACCCGCCCGCACGCCCACTGCGCATGCGCAGAACCTCCCGCTCGCCTCCTTGATACGCGTCACGGAGGGCGGGCGCCGCGCGTCATCGCTCTCTGCTCCCGCCCCCCGCCCGCCGGCACGTGACTCCGCGGCCCAATGGCGTGCGCGGCGCGAGCCCCGCCCCTTGCCGCCGCGGTCTCGGGAGCTACCGAACCGCGCTTCAGGTTGATAGCGCCGTTTGTTCCAGCTTTGAGAAGCGGGGTAGCGCGGCCGCGGGAGCGCCCGT